GGCGTTCTGAAGTTCTCCATGGATATCAACCGAGGGTAGCCCAAGGCCCTCATCATTTCAGTAAAATCTGCCAAAAGAAAAGCAACATCAATTACCAACCAAGTATACGGACACAAAACACAGATTTGTGACGTGAAAATGATGATTTAGCACAAACAATAAGGGAGCAGATAAGATAAGAAAACCTTTATTTGTCCCTGTACAGCATACAGAAAGGCCAGAATAAAAAATAACAAGAGCAGAGCACAAAGAGTAGCTTATAAAAGACAAATAATGAAAAAGAATAGCATTGCACAGACTGGTTTTTTTTGCACATATTAAGAGTGTTATATATATATATATATAGCGTGCACCACTTACTTCTTAAGTCTCTGAAGGACATGTTGACCTGCTGGCCCTGCACAGCCACACATGCACTGGCAGCAGAGGAGAGAAGACGGATCGTTATTTACAGACAACCGAGCTCCTGACATGAAGATGAGGATCCGTATAAATCTTCATCCCCACACCGTGTCCGGGTGGTGGGAGCTAAACCAAGAGCCACATCTTGCTAGAAAAAGAATCCGTAGTAAACTAACTCTTATATAAGTTAAGATAGTGTGTGTTTAACCAGCAGAGGAGTGTGTGAAGGTTTACGTAAGGTTTATTAACTATTACTGTAGCAGAGGTAGCTGCAGTGTTAGCTGTCTTGTGGCTAGTTGGCAGTAATTAAAGGGTTAACGCTTGGACGGTTGACGGACGGTTATCCAGTTGCAATCAGATATCGATTAGGTTATATCTGAACTAACTATAACCGATCAGTGGTGAGGAAACGGCCGTTAAATTGGTTTTGTTACCTGTCGTTAGCTTCGGGTGTTCGGTTTGGTCTCTATGGAAACCGGTTCTTGTGTTACGGGAGCTCATGAAGGTCAAAAAAGAAGGGAAAAAAAAAAAAAAAAAAAGAGTAACCTAATGATGACTGAGGAAGGGTCCATGACTGTTGGCAACAGTGATGGGACAAACCAAAAAAAAATAACCTGAAGTCCCAGCATATGTAGAAATGCCTCAATCCTTGCTTTGAGAAGAGAGAAGCAGGCAAAGTTGAGACTGGGTTGTTGGAGCCAGCATGGAGAAAAATCTCTCAAGTTTCATTCAATAAATAGCATAGTGGAATATGCAAAAAAAAAAATCATTTTTTTCTAAAGCAAAAAATACGTAAACCCCTTGTTCACTTCATCCAGAGATTGAACCGTGTTTGTCCATGTTGCAATCCACTCCAAATACATCCCCACAGATC